CAACACCACTGTCATCATGAACAATTCAGAATACATCGACAAAATGAACGACATCCTTTACCGATAAAAAGAAAGTCAAAACCATCCCAAATAACCCAACAAACACACACGAAAAAGAATTAAAGAGAACTTACTCACCATCTTTATTTTTATCTCCGTAAAACTGATTCACGCACACCACAACTCTGTGGTATTTCCTAAACCACACAAACAGGACTGCCCCCTACGACATATACTGTCCACTTATGATTCATTCAACCACAATCTTGGCAAATACATAGCCTGAGCTCTCACACCATATGTAACATCTGCAGATTCAATTTTTAAAGATGACTTCAATTTCAAATATACACTAGACCAACTAAATTCGAAAGTCTTAATGGCTAGTTTTGATGTCGTGTCACTCTTCACCGAAGTCTCCGCCAATGAAGCTTGCAATATTGCACTCGACCTCTAGATTAATGACCCCAACAACTTAATCCACATCCCCAGCACACTTTTTGCTTCTCTCTTACAATTTACAACGACTAAAACCAACTTCATTTTCAACAACGAACATTTTCTTCAAATAGATGGTTTAAGTATGGGCAATCCTGTTTCGTCCGTTCTTACCAATATATTCATGACCCAGGTCGAAACACAAGCCATACATTCTGCGCTTCATCCCCCACTATACTGGTATAGATATGTCGATGACACTTTTGCTGGTTTCACTTGTACAAATCACACACTAACTTTCTTTGAACACATAAACTCCATTCACCCCAACATCAAATTTACCATAGAACACGAAAACAATAAACAGTTATAGTTTCTTAACCTCAACATTATTAGAGCGGACACACAGTTTAAAACCAAAATTCACCGTAAGAACACACAGAGCGGCCTCTGCATCCCCTGGTATTCTGCTCATGACACCACACAAAAAATCAATACCCTGAAAAACCTCATAAACACAGCCACAAGACTCTGTTCAACGGACCACATAGATGAAGAAATCAACCACATAAAGCATCCTTTCATTCACACCAACAATTTCCCAACAGATATTGTTGAAACACTTTCCAACATTCACCACAAGAAAACTCAACTCACGAACAAAACTGATACTGACAAACCCAGCAACAGAACATTACACTGCAGTTTACCTTTTGTCCCTGAAACCAGCTCAGGAATAATTCTCACTTGGACAAAACTAACCATTAAACACAAAATTCCTGTCAATGTTAAATTGTACATCAGAGAAACGGGAAGAAAATTGGAAACTAGATTCACAGAACACAATAAAAAACTGTCCCATGTTTTCCACCATTGCAACTCATGTTTGGTTCTTTGTTTAAAATGACTGTGTTTTTAATAGATATACTATGGTTTTTTAAACAAATGAAAAATCAAGGAATCCATCTTAATTGAACAAAACAACCCTACTCTAAACCAACACCCTGGGGTGCCTAGACACCTCTTCTAAGTTTCGCAACAGTTCCGGTCATGTGACTTCTTTGTTCAATACTGTATATATATCTATATATATATATATATATCAGTGTCAGTGTAAAGTACTTGTACCTGATGATGACAAAACCTTGTCGGAATGTTGTACATTTGCTGTTATGTTAAACTTATATTAAAGTTTTTCTTCATTACCCATTCAAGCTGTCTCCAGCCATTACTGTAGATACTTGTTGTTTTTGGCTTAAAAAGTATTTCTAAAGTATATATATGTTCCTAGACCTATGCTACAGCAAGAAAATTTACCTATTATGCATATTGAGCTGAATTTTATTACCTTATTTTTCATACTTATTGATTTTATCGACATTTATCTTTGATTATCTAGTTATTTCAATGGTCTCTAAACAATTATTAATTTGTGTTAGCTTTGATTGGTTTTAGATGTTTTGGGATCTTTAAATAAAAAGTTATATTTAAATTTCTCAATGTATATTAACAAAAAATTGAAAATATAACCCATATAAAGCTAAGTTAATTCTTACATATACACATAAAAGTCATGACTACTTAAATGAACAGCAAGATGAATCTGATTTATAACAGACTGTTATAATTTACATAAAACATTAAAACTATTAAAATATATATTTATGCAATTCATCACTTACTTTATTTTCATATGCTGACCTATTTTCTTTGTACCCACTAATTTGTTTCTTTTCTGCAAATTACAAAAAAAAAAAGATTATTAATTCAGCAAAAACTAATTCAGTTTTATAAAGAGACTAGAGGAATTCTAATTAAGGCTCTGCATGTTACCTATTACACCATACATACTCAATAGAAAATTTATTCTTAAAACATAATAATTTACTATACTTACCCTAGAGGTAAATATAGATATCAAGTTATCATATAATGAGCAATCCTTTAATGCGCTCATGTGTAGCAAAAGTAATAAGCAAAATATACAATGAAAAGTCAGATAAAGTAATAAAAAAAAGTGCAAATAACACAAGTGTTATGCTCCTACTCCATTTATCTATTGAATAAAAGTTAGATTTGCCCTGACTGAACAAAATGCATAACTGACTGAGAATCTACACCTTTAAATCCAAATAGGTTATTTAAAAATATTTGAAAATTAAAAACATCAAGGAATAAAGTTGTAGGATGTACAGATTTTAAACATAAAATAGGTTTGAGCAGAATATTCAAAGAAATGGAAATGAGCAAAACAAAAAAGGAAAAATAATGAATACTTGAACTCATACTGTGGTACATTTAAAAGAAACTGGTAACAAATTCTATATACCAAAACTAGCTCTTTGAATGAATAAAACAAGTTGAAGCACAGTAATTTAGTAGCACTTGCAAGAAGCATCAGGTTATGTAAAGCAAGTTTTGCACTTAAAAAGCATTTTAGTAAATCTCATATTAACTTGAATGATTAAAATTACAAGTAAGTCACTTCCTCAGAGTTGATTAATTTTACAAAATTAGCTTTTAATTACTACAAGACTGTTTTATTGCTTCAAGAAATCACTGCCTGTCTTTTGCAATACAGATTCAAACATTTTATTCACTGTATTCCAAGTAAGAAAATATCTTAGCAGTAAATTCTACATTATTTAATTTATTGATGTTTTAAGTAATACAATTACTACAAGACTGTTTTAGTGCTTCAGTAAATCACTGCCTATCTTTTGCAATATAGATTCAAACATTTTTAGTCATTGTTTTCCAAGTAAGAAAATATCAGTAAATTCCAAATTATTTAATTTATTGATGTTATTAAGTAATACAACTCTATAATATTTTGAATAACTATTATTATGCTTGCATTTTTTGTGTAAACTATAGAAGAGGCCTTCAAGAATTATTCTACAAGTATTGTACAATAATTTATGATTCTTAAAGATGCTCAAGCAGACAGAATTTTGTAATATCTAATATTAAGTCCTTGATGACCAGACACTTGTATCTAAATGCACTAGCAATATACTCTTACAATTTAACCATTTCAAAGTCTTAGGCCATACAGATACAATCAGATTGTAGAAGTTTTTATAAGGCAGTTATATTGCCATACACCATAAAATACATATAAATAAAAGAAATTATATTTTTTTCTGATTGAAGTAACCCAAAACCAATTAGTTAAATTCTTTTATATGTTTCTGCTTTACTACCCATTAAAGAGTTAATTCATTATATGAACTGATACTTTATCAATTTTTACTGAATGTTTTTAAACCATCTACTTCCAGGCAGATCACTGGAGATCTTACACACATGACTATGTGCTTTATTTCTTTTAATTACAAAATTGAGTTTTAATTTCATGTATAACACAAAATGTGTGTATATAGGAATTATTTTGCTTTCACTGGATGTACAAAATGATATATATATTATTTAAAATATACATGTACTTTAATAATGCTTGTTTTTAATAAAGGTCTATGCTTGGAATGTAATTATAAATCATGACACCTAATACTGCATTCTGAGGACATTTGCTCTGGAATTAAGAGAGAATTAAGGGTAACTCCCAATAACTGAAAATAAAATACAAATTCTCAGTGCATATAATTAGAGAATTTTCAATATAAGATTGTAAAATTAGTTTTTAGGGTTTATATTCTCAAACCCCTCTACTAAGGAACATAATATAGCAAACACAGTCCTCAGAAAAAGGCTTTGTAGTGTACCTGATTATAAATGTATTGGTAAATACATTTTTATCAAAATAAAATAACACTAGGCAAGCACAATCAGTATGTGATGCTAGAAATACAAAACAAACATGGCATTCCCTCCCTAATGTGTAGTATTTATTCATCAACAAATACATCTAAGCACATAAGCGTTGTCAGGATTCTTTTTTTTTGGGGGGGGGGGTCATGTCAGTTCATGGTGCATCTTTCTTATGTATATATTTTTTATAAACACATGTAAAACTGTTCATGTTATAATGAAAACTCAGCAATGAACAAATAATATTGAAATAATTATTCATGACACTTTTACATATAAAATGCATACTACCTATTTATTACTTTGTTGAAGTTTATATGTACATCACAATCATGTGTATATAAATCCCCTTTTAATAACCATTTGGTACCTTATTTTATAAGGTAGAGATACTGTTTAAGCACAATTATCATATTGTATCAAACAGGCTAGGAGTACAAATATGAAGGATTTATCTGATAACATGTCATTTTACAGCATGGAATACACCTAGTCGGTATGGTCTGGAACAGTATGATACTTGCCCATTCACATTATAATAAAAAACAAGAATGCTGGCCTTTCAGTATAGTTAACTACATTATGGTAATGCTAGGATGTTAGTTTCACTGATAACCTACAAGTAGATGTGTTCACCTAACAACTTCAATGTCTTGAAAAAAATTATATTTACAAGAATTATATTAAATCAAAAAAACATAAGAAGCATCTTGTTTACTTAATTAAACCCTAACAACTTTATTTCTCAATGACTATAGTTAAATATATTAATAATGTTCTTTTAATTTCTTATAAATATTCTACATTAATTTTGAGAGTACAATAACTTATTTAGATTAATTTGTTTAGTTTGTACAATTATATATAAGGTGGTTGATGCAAGGCTGAGCTTGGATTATTTGCTTTGTTGTTAAAGTGCCAAGCAGCAGTTAGTAGTTTTGACTTCCACTTCTTTGTATTAAAAGTGCAATCTGCTCTTATTAACACTTGGTACTTACTGTCAAAGAGTAGACATAATAATAATGAATAATTAAATAAAGTAAAAATAAATTAACTAATAAATAACTAAATTATATATATATATCAAAAAAATAGTAGTACACTGCTGCCAATCAGTTGCCTTTCTGTGGTCAATGGTTGGAAATTAGGGATGGCACCAAACTATGTTTGGGCAATCATGTGAAATTGTTATAAACATATAGTAAATCTCAAATATAACCAAGTGTGGTTCAATCTGATCTCCTAAAAATTATTCAAATGTTCAATACTTTCATTTATTTTACTTAGGGTTTTTCCAACACAAAGCACACTCATTACAGTTAGGCCTGTGAAAAGCAGCATTTCCATTCAGATCTAGTAATCAAAAGTACAAAGAGCAAATTTTTTGGTAAGTAAATCTTTTTTTGACATCAGACGAATTTGAAAACATTTAAACAACTGTTTGGTTTTCCTGTAAACAATTTCCAGTCAAGAGTAACAAGTATATATAAGAAGTGTTTTATATTTGAAGATGAATTTTATTATAATATTCACAGCAAAGGACACCCATAAATATAATTTTACCAATTCTGCTATCTCTTCTTTTCTTGTCATACATGGGGTCTTTAGCTTGATCATGAGGCTGCTTAGTTCTTGTTCTACTTCTTTCATCTTCCTTCTTAGTACTACTAGTACCTATTTTATGTTTGATGCTATTATGTTGCTCTTCTTTTACACCTTTCTTTTCATTACGTTTCATAGTATTTGCATCTGATCTCAGTGATTCTCGTTGTTTCTCCAAAGTTGGCTGGCTTGTCTTTACTTTGTCTGGCTTTGTTACACTTCTGGTGTTTGGAATTACAGTTTTCTCTTTTTGTCTTGTCTTGGATTCCTCTCGTACTTTGCTGTCTCTTCGTTTTGTTGCTTGACTATCGATGATTTTATCTCTGGCATCTTTTCGAGAAGTGTGACTGTCAGTGCTCGGTTTATGAGGAGAGCTAGTGTGATTCTTCTCCTTACGTCTTGAGCCATCTCTTTGTCTACTGGACTCCTTAACATTTGAAGTACTGGTACTCTAAAAAGTTAAAAGCATACAAGTATAATAACATAAAAATTATAACCCGATTTTAACTTTCTTTAATTAGAAAATAGAATAATTGCATTAAAGGGACAATGAATCAAGTTTCTGAGTTTCTTAATGTTTGAACATACCAACTAATTATCTACAATTTATCAACATTAGAGCTAGGCAATTAGTGGCATTTGCCATTCAACTAATCATCAGGCTTATTAATCAACTCATACAAACCCCCATACAAGCAAAAAAATAAGTAAAGATATGTACTAGCTTCATAACTTATTCAAACACTGCATTATTGTATCAAGGTATTTCTCTTTTTGCAAAAACGTATCTTTGTCAATATTTATTTCTAAAATATGTAGTAATCCTACACTAGTCATCTGTAAATCAAATAAGTTGATAATTAAATAATAAAAACATGTTTACTATCACCAATGAATGTAATAATGTGTTTATTTAAAACATATCAAGATTGCAATTAAAAATAATTAAGCATCCAGTCAACCAATTTCTTTATTTAATTTATTTGAATACGATAGACATAAAAATAACAATCAATACACATTTGAGTCATCATAATATTTTGCAGTTACCTACCATACTCACTAAACAGTAAACTTATCTGATTTGACGATGATCTTATTTGATGAACAGCTCATGCTTATCAACATTGCAACTCAATAAAACCACAGGATAACTATTAAAATGTAAAAATACCATAATTTTAAGCAAAGAACCAAACATCAACGAGATACCTTTATTAAGCCTTAAGCAATCTCTAGTCGTGTGATGTTGTGTTTCTGATGACAAAACACTGTACGTTTGTTACTGTATTTAACTTTTATTAAAGTTTTCTTTACTACCCATTCAACCCATCTTTAAACTTTATATGCTAACCTCACCTATAGTTATCTAATTTCTTCACATAGAAGAAAATGTCAGTAGCTTTCCAACAAATATATTTTAACACACAAATACTTTCACAATTCACAAATGAAAATGAAATTAAATGAACATTTACAGAAACTAAAAAAAAAAAATTCTTAAGCCTATACATTTACTATTATGTGATAATCTAACTCTTGCTCTGTCCAATCATATTTAAGCTTTCCTTATTTCTGACAGATACTTACTTCTCTGCACACAGTAGCCATTCCTCGCATATCTGCCTTTCAGGTTTTGTACATGCTACTGGCCACCTCATTCATGTGTTTTGACGTGAACTGCCCCAGCACACAATGTAATCATTATACAACAACAGCTTTCCACCAACAGAAGGGTGACATATCCACCATGTTCCCACAGATGTGCAGAGAGATATCTATCAGAAATACATTTTTAGGTAAAGAAAATGTTAACTTCTGAAAAATATGCTTAGCTCTCTACACATAGTAGTTTAAATCCCATATTGCTGTGGTGGAGAGGTCGGTGCAACTGTGACAACCTAGATGAGCTCCCTTCTTAGAAGGCAACTGAAGGGAAGAGTCAATGGAGTATGACACCTTATAGAGGGACCTTACTAGAAGGGCTACACTAATGGTAGACTACATCCATATCATGCAAGGTATAATCTTTGCCCAGATAAAAGTATGAAAGGAGGAAAGCAAAATGAGTCAATACAGTAGGAATTGAATCAGCTATTTAATCAACCTTTGTTTCTTTGGGCATAACAGAAAATCAGTTTTATTCAAAATTTGTTGGATTTGGTGCAGATGGAGCCTTAGTGAATAGTGGGATAAAAGCGGTGGGAAGGCCTTGCTCCAAGAGAAGTCACCATGGTTAATTTTTCCATGGCATGTGGCTCATAAATTAGAGCTGGCCATGAAGAATGCTCTTCAACCAACATACTTCAAGGAAGTGGACGACATGATCATGAGACTATTCTATATCTACCATAAATCCCCTAAGAAAGTCAATTTGCAAACTTATGAAGCATACATTTGACTTCGTGGAAGGATCAGTAAAACCAAAAAGAGCATGTGGTATATGATGAATTTCATTCAAACTGGCAGCCTTGAGATTAGTGATGGATAAATTTGGCAATCTACATGATGCATTTGGAAAATCTGGCTGCTCAGGGAGGTAATGATGAAATTGCTGAGTATTTAAAAAAGTGGAAAACCAGTCACATGTTGTTGCACATCTCCCTTTTCATTGATGTGTTAAGTCCTGTTGTAGAATTATCAAAAGTTTTTCAGGAAGAAGGAATTGGCATTGTGAGTGCCATCAGTGCTTTAAAAAAGCAAAATGTAAACTTTAAACATTCAGTAGAGTGAAGTTACAAGATCTTCCAGCCACAAAGTATTTGTTGAGCAAAATGGATTGTTCAGATGGATTGCACACGTACCAAGGTGTTTAATTCAAATCTGCCAAGTTTGAAAAAAATCTTGAATTACTGAAATCAAAGAAAAAAGGAATAATTGAGTCTGTATCCTCTTGCATATCTTCCCGTTTGGATGACTCTGGAAGTTCTTTGTTAGAGAAAATTGCTCTTGTACTGAATACTGAATCATGGGTAGCTTGAGTTGAATTGATAATTATAACTAAATCAGTTAATGTCACAAAAATAATTAACTAATTGAAATTAGTGTTTCCAACTGTCACTGTTTTTGATTATTCCAACTTTTCAGTAATAAGAAATTAATTGAGTAATTAATTATTATTTTCAATTAATTCAAGTTTATTCAGATTAATTGATCAGTGTCACAACTCATGATAGTAATCAACAAATCAAAATTAGTTTCAAATTACTGCTATTTTCTACCCAAATAATCAAAATATTACTATTATGTCTGTTTATTGTCAAACACAAAGCAACACAAGGGGTTATCTGTGTTCTGCCCACTGCAGATATTGAAATCCAATCTGTACCATTATAAGTTATTTCTTTTTTAACTATCACATATAAGAATAATTGATTAGTTGAATCTAATCAACTAATGAGCCTGACAATTAATTAATTAGCAAATTCCAATAATTGTCTGGCTTTAATTCTCATGCTGCAAAAGTCACTCAACAAATATAGGCTCACCTTTATATTAAGCAATTCTAACTGATAAAAGTTTGAAATACGTGCACATTAACAACATTAAACAAAATACTGTAGCAAATTATCAAAGAGAAAGTACATGTAGGTATTAATGCTGCTTACACTATTACCAATAATTTCATTTAAAGAAAACTATAAAGATGCTGTAACTAAAACAATCAAAACTTGTTATTTCAGTAATCTTCATTCTCAGTGCTGAAGAAAGATTCATAAAGTGTTGAAAATTATAAGTGAGATTTCAAGTTAACAATTTTGGTTTATCAGCCATACTGGTGATGATGTTTTTATGAAAACATCATAATTTTTTTTTTTTTATTACTTTAACAGAGATGGGCTGACTCGACAATACTTAACTTATTTATCTACTAGAACTCACCATGGAAAACATTTATTCATTAGGGATAACATATGTTACTTGGGCTTGTATACAAGTTTTCCCAAAACTTTCAAAATCTTAATTTTTAATAATGTAGAATTTTTCAATATAAATTATAAATTATGTATTCTACAATAAAACAATTACCCAAAAAATAAAGGTAAGAAAGTTAACTCTTTATAAATATTTTGATATGCCACATATAATTTATGAACATTAGAAAATTTTACAGATAGAGCTTACAAAGTCACTTTTCTAGTTACCAGCAGTGTTCCCTCTAGGCTGCACAACAAATGCCACACACTCAATTATTCCATCCACTCACATCCTCAGTAATGATGAGCAGTTTCAACACGTTGATGGCCTTAATGACCCTAGCAGTTGATAGGCCTAGAGCCCAAAAAACCAACTGGTAGCATTGCAAAGTATCCTAACAATTCAATATGATTGATGGATTAAAAATACACCCCACCTCCAAAATAACAAACAAAAAACTGGTAGCACACATCCACACATAGCCTTGATACTGGTTCACATGAAAAACTTCAATATGCACATGGATTGAAAAAATTAGATGGAACATTGATTAGCAGTCATATCCTTTTCCATGGCAAATACATTATTGAATACAAATTTTAAAAATTACCATAAACTTAGCAAAAATTACAAAAAATTTTATGAGTTTTAAAGAAAAATAGTGAATAAATGAAGTATGTTAGCTAATTATTAATATTATTTATATAATATATATCATACTTCATTAATTCTGTTAAATTAATGAGTGATGACACTTCTAGGTATTATACTTACCATGTGCTGTCACTAAAACATTTCATAATTTATCAAATCAATATATTCATGTACCTAACAACATATTTTAAATAAAATCTTTGTCAAGCTTTTAAGATTTTTTTATTTTCAGAAGCAGATATGGCTTAGACTTTTTTAGTATCTTGTTTACACATGCTAGATACTGTAAACACTATCAGATTTCCCTGTCAAATTACTCAAATTGTATGAAAAAAAGTCAGATTAAACATTTTTTAAGAACATAAAATTTTACAGTTTATGAGCTCAACATTTTACTGTAATTGTATATATAAATGTTTATAATACCTTTGCAAATTCCAAACATTTTATCTACTTCTGAACTTTTCTACAGCTCCAATAATTGTCAGTTGTATCTGCACATGCTACTAATTGTTAAACAGTATATTCAAAACTAGAACACAGAAGAAGAAATATGCAAGTATCATCAGCTTTCAGCTAAAGTCTGTAATCTTTTGGTGTGACATGAGTCCTTGTGTAAATCAATCTAAAGCAATCTTTGGTAAAACAGACTTGAAACACTCATAAACACAGACAATCTAAAGCAATCTTTGGTAAAACAGACTTGAAACACTCAAAAACACAGGCTATTTAAAGCAATATTTGGTAAAACAGACTTGAAACACTCAAAAACACAGACAGTCTAAAGCAATCTTTGGTAAAACAGACTTGAAACACTCGAAAACACAGGCTATTTAAAGCAATATTTGGTAAAACAGACTTGAAACACTCAAAAACACAGACAATCTAAAGAATTGAGATGGTAGCATACTTGCTAAAACATTAATAATTTATGTGCAAAACTTTACAACAAAGATCTATCTATTAAAATAATAAATACACTACCATGAAACGCTGTGAAAGTTCTTGTGCTCCCCAAGTTCCTTCAAATGACTTGTGCTATGTGCAAACACAAAACAACATGCACCTCGCAATCACATACTATAAACAAAACTTCTAATATAACTAAAAACATTCCGCACATGTATATTCAAAATATGTGGAGAACATTTCTTTCAACTTTAAGTTTTTTTTAAAGTTTTCAAGGGCTAAGTTGAACACAACTATAGTAGAAACAACTATTAAGTTTTATGACATATACATGCATCAAATGATCTATTCCATAATTTACACACAAGTTATTTTTTTTTCTGTTTTCATTTAATTTTATTTTTATCCTAAAATATAATTCTCTCAGATAATTTCTTTCTAATATTGAGATAAATTTATTAATAAAACATACGTCCATACCAAACTTTAACACATAATAAAAAATCATGAATTTAAAACAATTTTTTTAAACGTGTATAATTAATATATTTTTTTTGAGAAATTGCATATAATTTAACATTGATCAAACAATCTGTACAAACTGTATATGATTTTTTAGCTCATAAGATTTAGAAAGAATTTATATGGTTGTAATATCATGCATAAAAAATCACCTGTTCATAATGTACATTACAGAAATGTTTTTGTTTTATCTCTACCCTCTTAAATATATCCAAAAGTTTAGATTTATAAGTATGATGTCATTTTAATGCTTTCACACCCAGATGGTTGCAGTCTTCTTCAAGAGTAAAACTGCACCATTGAATTTCAAAACTCATAAAAAATAAACTTTTAGTCAATTTCCACATATAAAAAAATATATACATTTCACAGTGGAAGTTTATTCTATATAAAGCTTTATTTATCTAATTTTGTAAATGAATTTTTTTTTAACTTGCAAATTTTGATTGTGAGTTGAATTCGTTAAAGCTAGGCAATTATACCAACTAATTGATATAACTGATTAACTACGACCATTGATTAGATTAATTAATGTCCTGTAAAGTAACTGATTAGTCAAATAAAATAATCAACTAACTGAAATTAATGTTTCCAATTTTTATTGTTTTCAATTATTCCAAATATCCAAGAAATTGAAATGTTCCCATTAATATTTTTATTTAATTAGAGATCATTTACCTTAATTGACTAGTGACACAACTCACAAAAATAATGAACTTGTCAAAATTAGTATTTCCAATTACTATTTTTGATTATTCCAACTATCCAAGCCTTACGAAAATAAGCAATTAGTTGAATGTAATCAATTAATAAGCCCAATAATTAATAAATTATCAAATTACACTAATTGCCCAGCTCTAATTTTAGCATGCTCCCAATGAAACCATTAGTATTTGTGTATTTCCTGAATTTTTTCTCAGCATACTATGGCACTTCGTATCCTACTAGAAGGAAAGTCTTATTAGTCATCAACAAAATAGTGCAAACTTCTCCTTGTAACTTGAATACAAATGTAGTTTTATCCATTTTTTAGCCAATCACTGTTTCTCAACCTCAAATGTCATGTTGTGATGTAATTGCCTGTATCTCAGCTTCGAAAAGTCATTTAGCCTTGCCACTAGGAAAAAAACCACTGTCAGTCACAGTGACCAATTAATAATTATTTTACCAATAACCATACAAAACAAAATGGTCACTGCCTGACACCTATCCACTCTTATCTCTTAACAAGTATGATAAACATTATTTTAATTTTATAAAAATAATAATTAGGGATTGATATATACATAACCTTGCTAGCTATAGTAATATAGAGAGTTTTAATGCTACAAAATCCATTGAAACAAGAAAGCCAAAACTACAAAAACTGATTTGTTTAAAATTTAAAAGCTTTTATCCCTACTTTGGCAAATCACTGTAATTATGTTAGTCTGGACCAAAGTAGGAATAAATTTTCATAAATTTTACTTTACAGTCCAAGTGAAAGTCATGTTCTTTTTATGAGGAGAGTACTTTTATTTAAAATTGTGTTCTTTTTCAGTTCTTTTTCCAACTGTCTGAATCTTGAATACCTAAAGTGTGAAAATTTTTTATGGATATTTGTTTGTGCTGCCATTCAATAGATGGCGCAGAAGTTTTTATTACATACATAGATACTGACACATGCTACATCCATTATAGTAAGATGTGACTGCTACTCTTTTGTTTGTAAAGAGTGTCACCAAATTTAAAACAACTGTTGTATAGGACAAAATTGAGCATTATGTGGATGATTTCTTATGTGATGTTTACTGGAAAAATGTGTTGATTAAGTGAAGATGTGAAGTTAATGATACTGTTTATGCCTTCTTCTATGGGTATACCTGAACTATATGGAGTCCCTAAAGACCATAAACAAAATTTACCTTTAAGCCCCACAGTGTCAGCATGTGACTCTGCAACAGAAACTGTATCCTGGTTACTACATCAACTGTTTAAACCATGTCTAAAGTATGTTCCATCACACTTAACCAGTACTAAAGGTCTCTTAGAAAAGATACACCCTTCTACATAAACAACATCCACTGACTCCATTTTATTTTTCTTAGACATAATCACCCATAGAAGAAGACATAGATAGTATAAAAATGTGTAAATCCCTCCAGCATGCACTATATATTTTGAAAGATAACTATATTACTATAGCTAGCTAGGTTACATATATATCAATCCCTACTTGTCTTTCTAAAATTAAAAAGATTTTTATTATACTTGTTTATTTCATTTTTATTTAGCCATATTTTTGTGCACCAGCAATACCAAGCGTGGGGACACGCGTACATTTGATACGATTTTGTTACTCATCAGGAACTCCACCAACCTACCCTCAAATCTAATAATATGCACAAAGTAGTGCATATTCCATTTCATACATATATACTAGTATCCTTTTCGGTACAAGAAAGGAAACATTGGGACTCCAAACAGGAGAGTTCTATGACAAAATTAGTGATAACGTTCATCATTTTTTCTGTATGCTTGTCTTTTAAAAGTCACGTACATACTTACTTACATGAAAATTCGTTGAAATAGTAAAATTTTCATTCACTCCATAAATACATATATAGCAATCTAGGCAGCTTTATAATTACAATAAATTTAGTTTTGTTTGGCCAATACTATGAAATAGTCATTGTAAATATTCAGACATTTTAAAGTGGTTTTAAATGGGTGATTTTTATGGCTGCCATTTTATTTCATGACTATCCCTACTATTAAGTACTATCATACTTAATGATAAACTGATAAATATACACATATCAATGGAGAAAAAAAAAACTGAACATGTAAAAACATCTATTAATCTCTTTTGGTTGTTTTATTAACATAACAGCCATTATTTCCATATATAGTTATGTTGATGACATAGATTTTGATCTCCTGCTACATCAATATGATTTAATTCACTGTAATTGGTCTTATAGTTTTGCCACAATTTCATTTAAATGCTTTCTGAAGATTTGTTAATGGCCAACCACACAAAGGAATGGCAGAGTATTGTGAAAATGTTATTACTAGTAATTTATTAATTTTTGTGAATGTGTATGCACTGAAGTGTGGATGGGAACATAATTGTATGATGCTGCTCTTCAGACTCAGAAATAATTATAAAAGGCAATGTACATGTATTATTTGTTTTCAATGTACATTTATTTCCAAAACATTTCTTTTTCATGTGAAATGAAATTTCTGCTAATAAAGTAACATCTAATTAGAATGTAGTGCTTAGTCTAAAAGTAAAACATCACTCATGGCATTTCATATTCTATCCAAAAATGTATTTCATAAGATACACTTTTCTTGATACATACTTTACTGTGTCACTTTATTTTCTGAAATGCAAGCACATTAATTCTAAACCACTATGATCTATGTCAAAACCTTCATAATATTATGCTTTGCATTTTTGACATTAAAAATCAGAGGCACTAACAGCTAATTATCTCTATTCACATGGCAGAATGCAAATCTTAAAAAAAAAAAGATTGATTTTATCTATGTTAAACTAACAAGTGGCTTCAGTCTCTGACAGTCAATTAGTTTTAGAAACAGTCTTTGACCAGTAACTACCAGTTAATGGAAATGATAGCCATTAACTACTGATCTAATCATGTCACTGAAACTCTTCCATTATTTTCAACTGTAAAAACCAAAAAAGGTTTCATTTAGTGGGAGTTCCACAGAAATTGGAACAGTGATAATAGTTTAGCTTGTTGATATGTTGCTACAAAAAAAGTGCTTCCAAATAACTTCTGCTATAGGTACAACTTGACTTAAAAAGCCTGCAAAAAAATAATGCATTATTATTTTGTATTTCATATGAATTATGATGCTGAAATATGGCAAGAAATGTTTTTTTTTATGAAACAAGATAAGGTAGGCTTAGTTAAATCATTTTGAACTTGACCTTATGAAATTTTGTTACACCAACAAGGACATTGGTACTATCACTGCACCATGTGTGAGTGCAGAGAAAAAAATGCTTATATTGGGTCAAATCCAACAAAGAATTGCTGGTTCTCCCCAAAGAATAATCCTAGATATCACCAATCCCCTCCCAGGGTTGAGAGAGGTAATTAATACATACTAGTCATCAATGATTCCATCATTAAGTGAGCCAAAGCTTATCCATTGATCAACACTTTAACACAATCCATCACTTATGTGTTGGCAGAGCAGTAAATAGCATGCTTTGGCACCCCTGAATCACACAGATCAAGGAACTAATTTCAACTGTCAGTTATTCTCTAAGTTGTGCACAATCAAAAGGTCCTGTGAAGTGAATGATACAGGCTGTCAAGTGGGATGAACAATTGCTGTAGGTCACGATAGCATACTGTGCAACTGAACAAAGCTTGACTGGCTGTTTGCACAACATACTCATATTTGGGTGGAACAAAGTGCTCCCAGTAGATATGATGCACACCCACCTTCAGCTGTGCAGGACAACAAAGCCCACAAGTCTGAAGAGGTGTTGGAAAACTCCAGTGGTCAGCCAGGATGCTGATGAAAACTTCTAATCATAATGGCTGGAATTAACTGCCAGACTAATAATTAGAAGAGTTGGTGATCTGCACAATTAGTAACAGAATGGAAGCATCAATTCTTTCTTTCTAAACTATCAACTTTCCACTCAATTATCGCTGTTAAGAAATTTGTTTGGTTAAAAAAAGCAATTGCTGGAAAGGTGTGGTAACCCTTGCTTTCCAAGTGACTGTGTAATCATGGGGTTAGACTTCCAGACTCAAGATCATCAGAAAACGCAACTCAACATCTCACCATTAGTTATCACAACCATTGTACCAAGGTTCATAGTTGGATATGAGCTCTCAAGGTACAGATTGTTAGCCATCCAGCCAATTCTTCTTGAAGTGAAGGATCAGACCAAATCCAAGTTTACAATATCCAAGCAGTACCAGTTGAAGCATAAGGACTTCATAACAAGTGCCCCATCAGAGGATGTTTTGTGAAGTAAAACAACCAGCATGGGATGTGCACCCACCTCTGGTGGGACCGCCATATCACTTGTCTGGCAAGGCCAAAGAGCTTTGCCATGTTAAGAAATCCATAAAAGGGGAAGGTCACTCTGTAAATGCAAATCCTTCACCCACCACCTCAGGAGTAACTACAAAAGTGGTAACACAAGTGAAGGTACCACCAGCTGTGAGGGCAATTGTATTTAGTAAGCAACAAGGCATAAACATTGGCATCATTGGTGGTAGTCCCTCCCATGACTCCAGAGGCCAAGAAAAGGTACCAGGTGGATGGAAGCTTTGGCATTATACTATTGCAAGGAAAATTGCCTGTTGAAGCACAGAAAGTTGCTAATGCAGTCAGAGGAGGAAGTGCATATGTCTTCTAGAGGATCTTACTCAAAATTGAAGGACTCTAGACCACCAGAGCACACTGGAAATCCACATCTGTGTTGGAGGATTTGCTTTTGGAGATCCTTTAGCTAAGTAAATATACCTTCCCTTCTAAAGTGTATATAATTCTAGTGAATTTATATATATTTATTTGTACAGTTATGAGATAGTTGATCTTTTATGTCAACAAATCTGGTAATGGCTAGGAGCTGCCACACCCTTGCATTTTGATCACAGTGGACAGAGTTGGTGTAAGCAAACCTGGCTTTGTGCATTTTATTGTTTTGAATATATGTAGTCAGGTTTGCCCCATAAGAGTAATTTTTGATTTAACCTCTGAGAATAGCTTTTTATTATATCTTTTGGTTTTAACTTTAGTAGCTTTTGTACCGTTAATGTTGGCATTGGTTAGTAAACCTTTTGTGATCTTAACTTGTTGTAGCCCTTTGATGAAGTTAGAGTCTGCTATTTGATTAAAGTTTAAGCACTTGGAAGTTTCTAATTTAAATTTAGCATTTATTTTAGATTAACTTACAAGAGATAACATGCTGAACTGATAAAAGAAGCTATTAATGATTTACTCAAACTCCTCTTATCAGTTACATACCCACCATAACATACTTACTCTTGTATCATGGTTATCTTTTACTTTTGTCTGTAATAAGGGTTTTGATTTGTGCATTTATGTACCATTTCTTTCAGTGTGACAAAATTGGTTAGAGTTCAGAGAAAAACACAACAGACACACTCAATATTCTCTGAACCTTCAGTTAGTGGGTCTCTAAATGATTACTCTGATGTAAATCCATGCACCGGAAAGTATCACACTTCCAAGCAACCACAGAGTAGTGTTTGAAAATATATGTTCCATTGATGTTTTTCTGAAGGCAATCAAGTATTGCATGAGTAGGTAAATACATTAAATTTTCTTATCTATCAAATTCAGCAAACTTAGCCACAACCATAGAATTTTCTCTGTGTGTGTGTGTGTGTGTGTGTGTGTGTAGGAGTTTGATAAAAATTTTGGTGCACTATAAACTTAATATAACTTAGCAACTTACTAAAATTGATAGTTATTGGACAAATACATTTTCATGATGCTATCAAAACAAAGAAATAAATTTGAACAGCCTGTAAAGCAACTGCCATTCATTTTCTGACCTGGTAAAGAACTTTTACTCAGTCTACAATTTTCAACATAAGGTTTACTTACCTTACGACTGTCAGATGGCATTATTTATGGTTATGTCTAGCACAAGAATTCCTTCACTATTGTAGCATTAGTATCTCAAAACAGTATCCTGATTTAAACCATCTGGATATCCATTACAGTAGAACACTGATCTATATGGATATAAAAGCATAGTACAATTTTAAAAATATCCACAATTACTTACCAAGTACTCTAAATATTAAATTTATAATGTAACAAGTGTTTCCTAATACGATAATGCACATAACATTATATTTCTCATCTTATAAACTAATGAAGAGAAAAACATATACATAAGCCAGTTGTTAAATGTGATAAATTAATATATGCAATGGAAAAAACTCAGTATTACAGCAAGTTAATGTTTTAAACTACAATGTATGCAAAATCTTGATTCCAAAGATGGAAAAAGTCTGTATTCCAATATATTTTGCTAAGCAATATTGATCAAATGTTATTTAATTTTCCTTTGATACAACATTTCTCATAATTCATTCTTTTCCAAGTCATAAATTAAACAGAAACTTTTGTCTTTTTTGTTTTAGACAGGACTCTCCATACAGATAACATGGATATTTATACCCTTGTGTTGAATGATGTATTCAGAGAACATCCATATTAACCATGTGTATCATTAATGCTTGCACTCATTCTGCATAAAACAGGCTAAAGAAATGAAGGAGGTTTTCCAGGCTTCACAATTTACCAGAAATGAAAGTGTCATCTTGATCCAAATAATGAAATTCTTTATTGTGGAATAACAAATAGAAGGGACACAATAGATTGTCAGGTAAACTGTTTGATTTATACAAAGTATATCTTAAGATTGATTATGGAATGATATATTGTCATTTGTTGATGGAATTGTAACTGCATCTGCTCTTAAGAAGAATACCATTTAAAAACATTTGAAATCAGAGCAGCATAAATATGCCAAAAGCTCCCTATTCAATACTGCCAATTTACCACGGATTAATTCATGATCTGAAGATGTCCAAATGTGATGAAATTCACATTTTGTACATTTCATTTATGGTCTCCTATGTTTATTCCATGATTGTTACTTTCACCTTACTACCACTGAATAGATTGTTATCCTGCCAGTAAATTATACATGCTTTAATAAAGGGACTTCTATTGTGGGCTTGTCAGATTCTTCATTTAGCATTACACCTGCATGCCCTAGCACTTACATGTACAATGTACATATAGGTGATGATTTTACCTTGTAGTTGCTTTGCTTTCTGCCATCCATCTAGAGACCAACCACTCTGAATTTTGCCAGTATTACTTGTGAGTCAGTGAGCAAATATGATGTTGGTGGTACTGTCTGTTTGTGATTCATTACTTTCAGCAATCCAGAGCAGAGCTTACTTTATGGCTCCCAACTCCATCCTCATTCAGCTCTTGAGAAGCTTGAATGCTCCATCAGCCTTATCCAAAAGGTTATTTCTTCATTATGATGACAGGTAACTGTCCACCATGATCTGTAAGTAGATGCTAACATATTTTTTTTTCTGTTTCACCCTCTGCCCAATCTCTACATCTCGAGGATGATTTTCACAGATCCAAGAGAAGCAACTTGTTTATTCCATGAGGACACCAGAGATCTGGTGATAAAGAATTATCTGAATGGTGGCTGTATGGCACCTCTCTACCCATGGTTGTCTCTTGAGGTACCTTTTAGACAATCCCCAGCTTGGTTGGTGTTTGCAGGGTTATTGTAGAGCTGGAATGTCCAAATTGGAAAGAATAGTGGCTCATAATTGAATACGTAGTCTTTACTCTGCATGGCACTAGTGAAGAATTTTGCTTGTAATAGCTGTTGATGCTCTGTAATTCTGTTGAGGATTGTGAAGTATAAAAGGGTTTTCATGGGCGTGGCCAAAGAACATCCTACAACCAGTCTTAAACAGGTTTTCATGTATCATCACAACCTTATCTAGTATTAGATAAACTGAAAACTGGAGTTAAGTAAATGATAATTGCCCATGAACTAGGTGCTGAGGAGTCAATACTGCATGAGTGGATCAAAGAAGAAGCAAAACTAGCAGATCAGAGAATAATGATAAAAATGAACTAACAAACCCACCACCAAAAATCACTTAAGTGCAGAAAGCTCTGAAAGTTGGATTAAGTTGACTGGAGAACCAAGTGGAATGGATTTAAAGTTTTTTAAATTGAAATCAATCACTGAAGTTACAAGGAAGAGGACAAAGAATGAAAGTAAAAAAAAATCAATTCATTTTTCAAAGAGTAATGCTATCATGCAGTGTATATTCAACACGATATGCTTTTACTTAAACTGCAAACTCTTAGTTTTACACTTTTTTGTTTTAACCACACGAAGTTACTCTGGAATTTCTGCTAAACTGTGGTTGTATTACTAATGCATGTCATTACTTCATGTTTTCCATGTCTGATAATTAAAATACTGTTATTGGTATACATGTAAATATTTGTTTTCTTTCAGAGGTAAAATAAAAAGAACACAGCTTTATCCACTTTCTTTGGTGTGTTATTTCATAACTTGTTTTTATCACATGGGGAAGGATAGAGCCAAAGGGGAGTTTGATTATCCTTGCTATAATGCATCCTCACGTATTATGCGATAGCATTATTGGACCCAGATGACATCTTTATGTCAAGGTTTAGATGTACATTTATACAGCCACAAATAAGAATCCAGCATGGAAATGTACTGAAAAAACAAAAAACAGAAAAAAGTTGTTTCAAGATATACTTTACAAATTCCAGAATGTAATGCACAGAATGGGAAAGGGCATGAAAAGGATGCAAACACTCCAAAGAAGAGAGCTAAGTAGATGATGAAAAAACCATGTGAAAAAAACTGGTCCAAACCTGTTAATTTAAGTGATAATATAACTATGCAGCTTAAGATGAAAAATTTAAACACTGTGAAAAAAAAAGACACCTAGATACAAAAGAAAATGTAGTACAAGCTGAAAATGACAAGAGGATTTTAATTTGTTTAACTTATAAGGTCATTTCCATCATACATACATATTCTTACTTCCAACATGGTGGGAACAAGGCATATAGAAATGTTTCATCTCACCAAGGACCACATCATTTGGGTGAAAGGATAAAAAAAAAAGATTATACTACTAATGAATACCATCCCAAATGTAATGAAAAAAAAGAATGGATAGGAGGAATAGGAATGCAACATAGTGGCTGACAGACACTGTTAACTAATAAAACAATTCTTATAGCACCACTAACATGAAATAAGGAATATTCATAGACAAAATATCAAACTATAATAAAAGGTTAACATTGTTGTAAGAGGAAGAGAAACATTTAAAATGTTTCTGCCAAATGACCTTCACTGGAACCTAAAGTAAAGTAGAATGGTGAGTTAATACTTAGAAGTAGAAAGGTCACATCCTGGTTTAGAGAGAACCAATAGAAAGTTGTGTGTGTGCAACAGCACTAAAACAAAGGGAAAATAATGGCCAGGAAAACTTTTTGGTTGACAAGAGCCAACAGGAGGTGGAAAGGAAGAAAGACAACCTGCAATAAAAGTAAATAATAAACAAAATAATGATAATAATAATTATCATACAAAACACATAAACTGAACTAAAAAGATAAATATAAAAGTGCAAAAAAAACTAAATTAATTAATAACACTGATAAAAGTGTAAATAAATACATAAAATGTAGACATAATTGAAAATTAAATAAAGATGAACTGGTATTGAGGTAAATCTGCTATCTGTCATTCATTTTAGGTAGCATTGCTTATTCATCAGTAAAATGCAGCTTTCTGTTTCAGTTAAGAATGGATCATGATTTGTTCCTTATTTTGCCTACAAAACTTCAATGTTTTGCTTAATTCTTAGTTTCTAAAAATGTTGAAAATTATCTAGCACCAACAGAAGTGCTCCTGTGTTACAGCTGTTCAGGGGGCAAAACCTAGATTGAAGGCATATAATATGTCATGAATACCCAAAAGGTTGGTGAGGCAACATTCTGCTTACTTACATGTAGCATTATTTCATTTTGCTGTTATGAATAGAATTTCAATTAGATGAAAATGAGAAGATAGAATGTTATCAATATTATTGGTTTTAATGTGTTTAGACATGAAGCCAGTTTCACATGTATTAACTGCAGGACAAGAACTTTAAGAAATCAAAGTATTATCAGTTAAAACTATAAATGATATAATACTTAATATAATATGTACTTAATCATTCTTTGACAAAACTTATAAACAAAATGTGATAACAAGTCAGACAATAATATCTAAGACAAAAAGAGGTTTCAAAACAATTGAAAGCTAGGTCTTTCAATTGTTCCATGGACAAGTATAAGCATAGGTTATTTGGTATATATAGGAGTCAGGTCAAGTAAGAGATAAGTAATATACATGTATCTTTAAGTTCATGATCAGTCAATATCATGTGATAGTCATTTCTTGATAATGTTGGCAATCTGTGTAAAGTGATGGTTTTAAGTTACTTGGTCATCAATTTAATTTAATTTTATTATTTATACTTACCTAGTAATTTACTCTTTTTAATTCCATTTTTTCTTGGCTTATAATTTATCATTATTTTTACATTTTGAAATGCTTATGCACTATTTAGTTATCACTTATCAGTAAACATTTTTGTTTTAGAATCCATCATTCCAGGTCTTTTCAACAAGAACTTTTCATTGCTTTTTTTTTTCATGATTTTATGGTGATAAATGAGTAGATAGTGAAAAACTCAACTGATTCATTGAAAAATTATGGAATCACTGGTGATGACAAGGTCAGATACATACAAGTTAATCACACTTTTACAATCCACCTCCTGTTAGATTTTGCCTACCAAAAAATTTTTCTAAGCGTTCCGTACCCTCTGTTCTAGTATTTTTGCACTTTCAAGTTCTATTGGTTCTCTCCAAACCAGAAATTGAATTTTCTGCTTTCATACAATGTGTTATCACAATGTAGCTTGTTTGATATTATTGTTGTCAGATAAAATATACAAATGGAAAGAAAGGTATGCAAATAAAACATAGTTTTCAATTCGTGCAAAAATGCAATTTTCAATAGTCTGTTTTAATAGTTCAAGCTGTAAAAATCTTGCTTGTTCCTTAGGCTGAATAAAATACAAATCACAATCATGCAAACAAAATGTAGTGAAATAAGTGTACTTAAAGGAAACTAAGAAATTAACTTAATTAAGCATGTAGTAAGGTATACCATATTACTTACTTATTGTTACTTCCATTAACAGTATTGGTAACACTAGTTGATATATCAAATGTCATTACTTTTTTAATTTTATCATTATACTTTTATTAAAGAGCTTGCTTTGCATTGGTGTCTTGTTATATGTAATTTCAACTAACCTAAATCTCCTAAGATGGCACTTCGTGAAATATTACTTCGGATTACGGCCAAAATATCATTAACATCAAGGATACCTAACTAATGAAACAATGCATTCTAATTGTGACAAACAGAAACAGAAGAAAAGTATATCTAATTAGCTATAGTGATTGCTAAGTTGATTTTTAGTTTTGCTTTAAGTACACAAGTTGCTCTGACCAGAAGTTAATATTAATTAAGAATAAGGGATCTTAGTTGTTATAAAAATTCTGAAATACTTTTGTAAAGAAAGACTGAGGCAAGCATACCTAGACAGGCCAAAAAAATCCCCACTGAATACATAATAAGTTAGGAAAAAGTCACTAATGAAGAAAAACAAATAATACAAGCAGGCTAGATACTACAGAAATAAAAAGATGAAAGAAAGAAACATAAGTGTAGTATGAGAAATGCTGAGAATAGTGCTACTTCTACATGTTAGGAATATATATCACCAGAATATTATACTTTGTGCCTTCTTGTATCCAAAGAAATGTTTACATTCTATCACTAAACATTTTGACATGATATAGTGTAGAGTCAGTTAGTAGTGTCAGGTGTTACATTATCCATCTTGACCCAAGTGAACTAATGACCATTTATCTATTTTAATGTCATCTTGTGAAGGTTTTTCGTGTGTCTTTGTGGTGTAATGATAATAGGTGCCTTGTGAACATAAGTGGAAAGTTTCTAATAAGAAGAATAGGCTAAAATGGCATCAGATGCTTTGATTATCAGAGATCAGCATACTAGTACTAATATGCACATGAAGAACAAAGTATTATTCACAAAGGCTTTCCTTATGGCAATGAACTGCAATAGCTTGCATGTGCCAATTCTTGTGAGAAAGCTCCCAGATCCTTTAGGAAAAACAGACCAGCTCTTATTTAAAAAAACATCTTGTAATAACTAAGAAGTTCCATACAGCTCAGATCTATGTACTACAGTAATGAGAACATTTAAAATATAGAATAAAAATACAGTAAGTAAGGAAAGCCAGTAACAGAGCTAGTTATCAGCCTTAGTCAGCTCTTGAGTAAGTCAGCTAGAGTTAAAGTCATCAGTCTTTATAGAAATGTAAGAAATGGAACTAGTCTCAACTTCTAAGTTAGTTTTTTTATCATTTTTTGAGTGTAATATTATGTAAGAACTAAAAGTTATCAAGTAACAATTTAACTGAAAATACAAAAAAGATTATTAAGATAACATTGTACATAAAGGTATTAATAAATATTGTATCTTATTTCATCATTATGAGTCCATATCTTCAATATTTTAACATAAACTTCCTTGAGTTGGTATCTGTGTGCTCTTGCCAAATTACTGAAATTTAAATAGATACAATTTGTAACCTGGTAACTGTCACACAATAACTGCCCATTACTACAGTTATAAACCACACAAATAACCCCTTTTCTACTGCACACACCCAATATCTGTGAACAAGAGACTTGATGGTCCATCTCGGTTGTCCCATCCACTGAGCTATAAAAACAAATTCAATGACAGCCCCTATCATTTCAATATTTATCAAGACTTCCCTGAAACACCCTTAAATTTACTGCATTCACATCTGAAGGCTCCTACCCTGCCAAAATTTATCTTTGCATTTCCTAATCTTAACATTTTCACCATTAATTATGAAAAAAAAAAACTGTGATGCATCAACACTATCAATTCCATTAATCTTATACATTTCAATCAGATCCATCCTAAATCTTTTTTACAAGAGAAAACTATTTCAGAGACCTTAACCTGTCCTCATGTGACAACCTTCCTATCCCAGGTATCATTCTAGAAGCCCTCTTCTGAGCCCTTTCCAACAATTCTACATTCTGCCTAATACAGCAGGCCCAAGATGAAACACAATAGTCTAAATTTAGCTTAATCAGTGACCTATACGATTACATTATAGCCTCTTTAGATTATATTAGATATTTCTATGAATACAACCTAAAATCCTACGTGCTTCTCCAACAGCACACTGCTTGGATGGCTCAAGAAACTGATCAACCAGAACAGTAAGATTCTTTTTTTCCTTAATCAAAATTATACTAATGACTTAAATTATGATAACACATTCATAACCTCACATTTACTATAATTAATAGTTACCAGCCATTTATTTACATAACTCACCACATAATCTAAATCCTTTTATAAAGCAGCGATCTCCTTCTCAAAGTCAACAACATCCAAGATCTTAATATCACCAAATTTAGACATTAACCATTCCTTCATCCATGTCATTTATATAAATCAAAAAGAGCAAAGGTCCTAACACACAGCCCTCAATTTTCACATTAATTCAGTCTGACTGAGCTCCATTTATAACAACCCTTATTTTTCTTCCAGCCATCCATTTTTCTATCCAATGAACCAACATGTCCTCCACACTTAGAGCTTTTTTTTTTTACAAGCCTTTTGTCACCTACTTTCCGAGTCCAGATACACCATATCCACAATCTTACCCTCATTTATATAGGAGTAACCTTTTCAAAGGATGTCAAAAGATCAGTAAGGCTAGTGAAACTATACTATCAAACAAAACTTAAACTTTCTTAAATGACTTTGCAAAGCATCTTTTATCAGACTTACCTAAGATTTTTTTTTAACTTATTAGTTTTTCTTTAACAAGCTCAGAATCAGTATGATCATCCTTTTCAATGATCAATCTTGTTTCCATCAAGCAACTGTTAAGGATGATATATTGCTTAAATCTTCATTAGTTAAAATTGAAGAAAATGTATAATTTAGCAACACCGTTCATGTTTGAGTTTTCCACATTTTAATATGTTAAGATAAAGTTTACTTAATAGAATGTTTGAAAACAAAAAGTTATTGATGTAGTCTAATCAAACTGAACTCTTGTTACTAGTAGAGGGCCTCAAGGCTTTTGCATTTTTCTTACTTGCATTAACAATATTGATAAAGACACAAGTATTAAAGCTCACAAGTGACAATAAAGTATTTCTATCTGTATGAAAAATCTTTAAGTATATTATAAAATAACTTGGATATAGTATCTCTGAAAGGATACTTAATTACTAGAATGGGTTCAGATGATGATTATTACTATTATAGTATTTCTGGGATGGAAGGATTATCTTATTTTATCTTGAGAAGAATAAGAGGTAGTTTTACTGAATTCTATAAGATTATCTAGCAGATCAACAGGGTAAAAGCCCTTGATTTGTTTGTGTTATACTTGGAAGACAATAGGATAAGATGGCATGAGTTTAAGATCTGGAAAAGACAGTATAAGCCCCAGTTAAGACAGTTTTATTTTAGTAACAGGGTCACTGGCTTAAGGAAGGAGATTCATCAGGAACAGTGAAGACTAGTGGCATAGTGAAAGTGTCTGGTGCCCGGGGGCAAAATATAATTTGGCACCTCCCCAAAAAAATATATCAGCTATGAGATGTCAGTGTATTTTAATCAATCTAACACTGAAAATCAAGCAATTTCTCTAGGGATGGTATTTTTCATGATATAGTAATATTTGATGTCAATCATAACAAAAACATTTTAACGAGCCTTAGTCTTATGGAAACAGCTAACTTCTGGGTAAATTGGTTGTTAATTTGGTGACCCCTTAGGGCAAATGCTTCTACCTGCACCCCCTTCACTACACCACTGGTGAAGGCTGGCACTGTACAATAATTTAAAATGGTGATTATAATTTCCTGAAAAATAAAGAGTAGATTTAAGCTTTTACTTCTTCTCAAGGGTGGACATAAAAGGACTTTAAGGACCGAATGGTCCCTTTATCATATCCATATGTTATATCATTATTATTATGACACCAGACCCTACCAGGATTTTTTTTTATCACATTAGCCATTAAAACTTAAGAAAAGTAAAACAACTGTTCAATTCTCAGCAATAAATTTATATTTTAAAAGTAACAAGCTTTTGCTGCCTTTTATTTTTTAATTTTATCGGTACTTCTCAGTTCATAGAGAAGTATCAAACTACCATTACCATACATTGTTTAAACTTAATTAAACTAAAAGTTAAAGTAAAAGTTGGGAATCTTGACTTTAATTTTCAAAACATTATGCAACTCAATGAAGAGAACTTCATCAACTTGATCAAGCATTTGACTCAAATGTTTTGAAATTGAGTCAAATTTTGACTGGATTTACACAAAACAAACACATACATCAATAATGACAACAGTATTGACACAAACAATGCATACCTGGAGGCTCGACTAGTACTGTGTTTAAATTACATCAAAAATGGAGGTTATACACCTCTTAAACATTACACATTTATTATCAATAACAAATTTTAACAAACTCAATATTTCTAATGCTCGCAATCATGTTTCTTCTGGAATGCAAACAACGTCCTCTCGTGTACTTTCATAGTTAAATTCTCAATAAATACATTAACATTGAAATGAGAAAATAATAGATTTTAGCGGAAACAGCGTTCTTAGTAAAATTAGAAACAATTTATGTACCAGATATTAAAAACAGGATTCACTTTTTTAAATAATAGTATTTTATAAATTAATGTCTTGAAAAAGCAAATGTATATTGTTGAATTAATTATAATAAACACAAAACAAAAATACAACAGAACGCCATTTGATCCATCGATTTTGTTTGTTCGTTTATTTTTAAATACAATGCGCTGTTCAACTGTTCACACACGCACATATATAAGTGCAAATACCTGTTACGACAGCGGAAGTCATGTGACGCTAGTAACACGTCATGTGCTTCTAGAAAATTCATGTCCCTTCGTGAAGCCTCGAGT